TTGCCTCTAATTTCATTCTAATACTGTTTTTAATGTTCAGAAGAATAAAAAAAACATCTACCTGCAATTCTGCAGATTTTTATGCATCTTTTGGCTACAATTTTGTTGTTTTTAGTTACCACTTTATGTTCTTTACGATTCATATCAGCACATTAATTTCATCACACTACTATGAAACATGAAAGAACACACTTTGACATTTAAGTTATGTCACACCATTTCAGTTTCAAAAAATGTATTCAAGTGTGTGTGTAAATCACAACAACACGCTTCAACCAATGCATTACATTGATAAGATGAGTTTGACAAAAAAGATTATCTCATTCATTTCATTAGATTTCAAAATATGAGATTAAACTAGAATCTGATTCATTTTATCACAATACAAATCCCATTTTTTATAACTATGTCTGCACTCATTTGGTGATTTAGCTTGAAGCTAAAAGTACTAAAGAAAGACAAATAATCTTTTCAAAGCAAATGGGGGTGGGAAAAGGAATGAAGGAATCACATAAGATAAATATGCATACGATCCAGCATTCGACAAAGATGTATTACAATTTGACAGTATTTGCGAGATAGAATATATTATTACAACAATTCCAAGAACACAACATCAAAAGATCTACAACAAAATTGTCTCCATTTAAGAACCAATTCAAGCTTCATCAAATCGTTGGAAGTTGTTCACGTCTACAAATCTGGACAAAACAAAAGAAACGCACCTTTGTTAACACACACTAATAGAGCCAAAATAATAACTTATAAAGCAAGAGTCATAACTTGTAGTCTAAACACATTAAATCATGCATGCTCACCTCAAGATCCGTAATGTCTTAATTGCTCTAGCTACATTGTCAATTTTCTTTTAAATCTTCTATAATGAGTATTAAAAAATAATTAAACACAGTTTTATCACTAACAGTAATAGAATCCTAACTTCTATAACTAAATTCAAAACTTATAATTTACATTGGTTGAAAGCATCAAGAGTAGAACAAATTTTTGAAAGACAAAAATAAAGACCCCCAACAACGTACTATCACTACTATTAAGACTAAAACAAATTTATCCGTATGTATAAAATAAGTCAAATGATTTTTATAAAATACTAATGAGATGCTACTTTTTTCACAACTTTTATTTGATAAAGCTGAACTTCTAAATATAAATCAAGAACTATAATTTAGTGCAGTAAAAACATTTATTTAAAGACAAATAGTGGTTTCCAACGACTAAAGAGCCAGAATATATATTTTGTTTAGACACACTAAAAGAGTCAGAATAATAACTGATATAAATAAAATCATCACTTGTAGTCTGAAACATTAACCCAGATTCAAAACTTCAAATCTAAGTCCTAAGAAGGGGGAAAAAGTTATCTGCAATACCATAAACACCAACACAAAAGCATGTTGATCACCTAATGTTTCTTTGACCACATCATCACAAAAAGTAAACTTTTTTGGTTTTACAACCACACTAATAGAGCCTGATCCATAACTTCTAATAAGAAATTCACAACCCTTAGTCCAATAACTTCAAAATCAATCTACCATGTGTTATGGCATCTCAATGGTAACTAAATGATATAATTTCACCGTTAAACTAAAATGTTTCTTGGCGGTCACTAAGTAACCATGATGCTTCTTTTTTCCTCACTTCTAAAAAATAAAGCTTAACTTCTAAATCTAAATCAATGTCTATTATTCTGAAATTCATTACGACTAAGCAATGATCAAGTGAATGTTTTCATGTTGCAATTCATATGATTGAAACTCAAGCTGTATAAAGACATATCAAACTTTTAGTTTATTTACAAGTCTAACAAGTTATTAAATATTAATTACATACAAAAACGCATGATTATATCAGACTTGTAGTTATTAAACATTAGTTACATACAAAAATGGAAGCTAGCACCTGAAGATACAACAAAGATTGCTATGGAAGATCTTATCAAGTGTTTTTACCTTCCGATTAATGAAGCTTCAAAAAGCCTGAAAATTGGGCTTACAGTACTCAAGTAGAAGTGAAGAGAAAAAAGCGTAGGAGCCACACTTATAGATCCACACTTATAGATTCACACTTAGATCAGAGTATAGTTTTGGAGAGAGCAAAGTGCAGGATACATGTTCATGTAAATGGTTGATCTATTTTTTCTCTCTTTTATCTTTTTATTTTCTTTATCTTTATATGTTCTTATTTTCTTTTGTCTTTTTATCTTTTATCTTTTTTATGGTATCGTTATCTTATATTTATCTTTATCTTTATCTTTATCGTAATCATACCTTAGTTTTTATTTTTCTTATCTTTTCTTTCTTTTTTGGCTTTGATATCGTGGATCGATTCATGTTAGCTGATCTAAAAAAATTGCGAATAAGGCTTGAATGTTGTTTTGTTGTACTATTAATATTGTAGTATCTAAAAATTACTGCTTAATATAAGTGTGACTGATATCTTATAATAAAACTTATGATCTTAAAAACTGCTTACAATTTTCTATTAATGAACAATTATTCAAGAAATTGAGTGATCCAGAATCCCCTAGTTAAATGGCAAAGTCAACCTCGAGTTATAAGTTTGAAGCCTTGAAGGTGAGATTGTGAGAATGTTACTTCATAGTTTGGATTATGGGGTATGAGCTATAGGACTAACTTCAAGTTTTCAACACTTTATCCGGAGCACACTGACGGCTGATTCCACTTCTATTTTGTGTCCTTCAATTCTTCTATTTCATAAAGGAAAAAGGGTTAAAAATAGACCTTTCTACAACCATACGTAGAGTGGTCATCTAAACACACGTACTAAAAAACATCACATGAACCTATTTACTCGCAAAAAAAGATCAAAGCAGCCAATTTTACATGAAGTTGACTGTTCAAAACCGGTCACTTAGCTTGTGTTTCTAATATTTTATTTTATTTCTACATTTTCTTTCCTCATCTTCTTCCTATGTCAATCCTGTAGTGATCCGTCACTGGTCTTACTCCTTCCTCATCCCCTTTTTCTTCATCAATCATCCTTGTTATTCTTTTTTTACTGTTCTTCACATCTGTTTCTTTACTTTTTGTTTCTTCCTTTTCTTAAATTTACATGAATCAAATTAAATAGCAGGCTGGCACTCTAGCAGCAAACTGGAGTACATCGTCCATGTACTCAAGTTCTTGAATTTCTTCCTTTTCTTTCATATCAACGCTCTGGCCACCATTTCCCACCGTCAATGGATGACATTTGCCACTGAAAATGGACATGAGTTCCCACTGCATGAGTGCATGCTAATGGACACCGCCTCCCGGAATGGGCTCTAGGCTCACAAACCTTATCGTGAAATCTCCCTCGTCGCTGGTATGAGAAGCCCCAAAGCTTCTGATTCACAACCCAAGGTCAGAAGTTAGTAAAGTAAGTACACGGTCTCCATCTCGAATCGAAGACCTAAGACCAGTCCAATTACGCCATCCTTCGAATTCAGATTCGTCCCCATGGAAGCATTGCCTTCTCTTCTCATTGTGCTACAACCAAGGATCGCAGCAGCCTTGTCACCAGAGAAGGGAGGAGCAAAGTTCTCCTCTCTACATCAGAATCACTGATTTCATCCCTTGGGAAATCCGCCAAGTCGGTGACGAGGACATTCGACCGGAAAACCCTTCTCACCGTCGGGCTCATCGATCTTGGGGACTGGACAAACCAGAACGACAGGATAGAGCGTAAATAAAGGAAAAATGGAAAAAAATTACTTTGTACAGTATAAATTAGCCTTTGACCGGTTATCTTCCTGTTAATTGGTTGATTTGATCACTTTTTTAGAGTAAATTAGGAATGGATTCGGTTCGGGCCACCCGGCCCCTGACCCGGCCCGGCCCGGTACTGTGCGGGCCCGGGACCAGCCCGGTCGGGCGGTCCGGGACCGGGTATGGACCCGAACCGGTGGGAAGGGGCGGGGCGGGCTCGGTGCTGGATTATTGTGACCCGGCCCGGCCGGGTCGGGCCCGGGCCCGGGTCCGGGTCTAATTTAAAAAAAAAAAATGGTTTGGGCTACTAGCCGTTGGGGGTGGGGGGGTGGTGGGGGGTTGGGGGGTAAAAAAACCTATAAATACTCCTAATCTTAAACATTTTTTCATATCTCTTCTCCAATTCTTCATAAATCCTATTCTTAACTCTCTACTCTCTAATTCTCTTATTCTCCAATATATTATATTTATTATTTATATATCTACTTTATAGTTTATACTTAAGAAGTTAAGATGGAAAATCAAGATGCCATTATACGGTATAATTTTGATAAGCAGAAGGACCCGAAGACCGGGATGTGGTACGCAATTTGCAAATGGTGCGAGAAAAAATGTAGCATGGGGGTTTCTGGCGGATTCGGAATGGCAATCAAGCATATGAAGTCATGTGACAAAGCCAAAGGATCGAGAGGTGCGGGAAGTTCCGATTGATTACAATTTTCAAAATGTTTATCTGTTAAAGTTTGTTTTAATTTTCAAATGTAGTTCCTATTTCATTTCAAATAAATGCAATTGAAGTTTGTTTTTAATACTCGTATAAAACTATAAACTATAAAATATAAATTATAAAAAAAAATTAACCGGCCCGAACCGGACCCGACTCGTGACCCGGGCGGGTCGCCCGGCCCGGACCGGACCCGTCCAACCCTCGGGCCGGTCCCGGGCCCATGTCATACTACCCGACGGCCCGACCGGGCCTAGGCCCGGCCCGAGTCCACTCATAGAGTAAATGGATAGATTTGACGCTTTCTTTTAGTACGTGGGATTAAATGACCAATGTTCAATTGTAAAAGGGTCTATTTGACCCTTTTTCTTTTCATAAATAGACTTGAATAAACCATCAGAAGACATCTACGGATAAAACTTTCTCATTTAAAATACTGTAGCTTTTTCACATGTGATTATATGAACAATTACATGTATTTTTGTGTATAACTTATTAATTTCACATGCAGATCAGGCCAAACAAAAACAGTTAATTCACAAACCTTTCCTGACATGTTAAAATATGGATTGCCAATAAGAACCCAGAGAATCCAAATTTACCGAGAACATCAGTCAATTTTTTTACAAAACCATTAGGTTTAAGCAAGACTGCTTTTGTTCTGACTTCTGAAGATTCAATTTCAAAGACTTGGCCATGAATGAAGAACATGCATTTGGAACCTGATGTTACTTGGAAAGCTGAAGAAGGTAAAGTCACTTGCCTTACTCTCTTGTTTTCTGTACGGCTGGTTGGTATGGCAGATTGCAGGCTTCCTTCCATTGGTATGGTGGACTGTGGGCTTCCTTATGTTAAGTTACATGAATGCCACCTACTATTTCCGGCGCTACTGATTCAGGAATACCAAACTACCCAGTAATACCACACACACTGGATCGAAAATATGGAAGTTTATTAAGATTCTTCTCTACGTTATGAGCTTTGGATCGTAATATAATTTAAACGTTATACATATGCGTGTGTGTTTCTGTCATCTGACATGGTTTCAGACAGCGCCATCAAATGAACCCTATTTGGTACATTATGCACATAGCAGAATCGATCAGTTGCCTACACCACACAGTCCTGAAGAATCTACATAAGCCTTGAAATTCAATTCATGCTGCTAGGATTGCTTGTCCGTACCCTGTCTATAATCATTTGCATACCGGACAAATCTTGGGCATAACCAACGACCTGTCACAAAGCATACTTTTCATTGAAAAAGTCTGGCCTATAATCCCTCCGTGTTATGCCAAACTCAATTAGCAGTTCATAATGAAAAAAGAAGAAACCTGTGACAGTGTCTGGGGATCGCTAAATCCATCAATAATGACAGCAGCAGACATATCTTCAGTAAGGGACTGAGAGTCTTCCTTTCTCCCAAGCCTGATATAAAGAAAGATTGAATGTCAACTCTCTGCCCAGAGCAACCACCGAGTTAACAAGTATGGCTTCTCAACCTTCTAACCAATAGATGGTAAAAAGAATTAATACTCAGAAATCAGATACACAGAGGTTTTCATCACTACAAAAAAAAGGTTGCTTCTACAATTCGTATAGACAACCTTGTGAAAACATCCACAACTCATACTTTTTCATACCAATTTCAGTGCTTTGCCATTACAATTCCATAGTCAGTGGTTCAGAAACAAAGTGTCAAGGCTGGGTGACTTGAACATGCACATGAGCCATCCTGAACTTTTAACATTATATAATCCAGCCAAGCAAACTTTTAACAAGGAAAGGTTAAGGGTGTTTTTGGTTAAAGGGTGTTTTTGGGTTGAAGGAAGAGATGGAGGAAGGAAACAGATTAGCCTCCTCACTTTGCTAATAATCCAGCCAAACAAGGAAAGCTGAGATTTTTCCCTCCTTCCCTTCTCCTCTCCAAGAACCAAACATGTCCTCATATAAAATTAAAATCGTGACAAGAAACACAATGCAACACAAAGTAGATTTACACATGCCAGCACGTCCAACAGTTCATCACCCTAAAAAAGTTTATGGAGAACATACCTGTTCGTCCAATGCTGAGACAATCTAAGATCAGGTTGTTGAACTCCATGATCTTGATCAAGAATGGTACAATCAGATGCAAAGAGCTATTTGTTAATTGAGGATAGCAATTTCTCCAAGCTAAACAACTATTGAGGACAGCAAAAGTAAGAAGGTAAAGTTTAAGGATACATTATTTTCGCACTCACTTCTTGATGGAGACTTCTGGTTATGATTCTAACAACAAAAACATTAAAAAAAAATAGTGACATTCCCCAAAAAAATAGACAATCAAAAAATTGAGGAAGCGGTCCAGCTCAGCTGGTCGCCGACTCACTCTCCCATACGGGAGGTCGGGGTTTGAAACTCCATGGGGGAGGTTCAGCCATGTTTACCCAGGCTCCTCCCAGCCCCCTCCCCCCGACCCTCTTGAGGTAAAAAAAATAAAATATAATAATAAGGGAAAAGTACGGAAAAGGTACTTGTGGTTTGACCCATTTTCAAATATGGACATGTGTTTCATTTTTTAACAAAGTAAGACATGTATTTCAATTCAGTTATCACACGAGGGGCATGGCGCCTAACGCCGTTAGAAATCGTAAGAGGAAGACGACGAACAGTAACTCCAATTTTCAAAAGTGCCTTAAAAATTAAAAGAAAAATTTTGAAGGTGCGCCTCATCAAGGAGACATCCAAACCATCTTCCTCTTTGGATTTTCGTCTTTGTTTGTGTTATTTTTAAAAAACGAATTTGCTAATATCGCTTTTCTGTTGGACTTTCTGGTGATAAGGGTGACTAGAAACAAGAAAGAAAGATGGCCTGGAAGTCTCCTTGACGAGGCACATGTCCTAGTATTTTTCTTTTAATTTTTCGAGCACTTTTGAAAATAGGAGTTACTGTTCATCGTCTTCCTCTGGCGATTTCTAATGGCGTTAAGCGTTATGCCCCTCCTGTGATAACGGAATTGAAACACATGTCCTACTTTGTTAAAAAATGAAACACGTGCCCCTATCTAAAAACGCTCAAATCACATGTACCTTTTCCGTACTTTTCCCTAATAATAATCCCCAAGGTGACATATCTATGTGAATAAAGATACCATGCTCGTGTGCACCAAACAATCCTCAATCAGGTTAGCAACATCATCCATTACAGTAAAACCATTGGTGCTTTCAATCTTCTTGTTTTCTAGAGGATTTGTCTCTAATGTGGTGTCACTTTGATTGGATACCAATACCAAAGAACATTTTGTTTTCTCATCTGCTTTGAGCCTTGTCTTCTTGCATTTACTGGGTAAGCAAATAGTTTCTGCCCTTCCGACATTTCTGGCGGTAACAGCTTCACCATTAACACTCTCAACTTCATTGGACTCGCCTTGAACCTGAGAAACATTATTCTCTGAAATTATCTGTACAGCTTGCGTGGGAAACTGGCTTGATGTGCAAACTCCAGCTTCTCGATCTTCAGAAGTTACTTCTTTAGGACAAAATGGACCTGGATCAACAACTTTTTTCTGCACAAACAATAAATAACAGATGACAGATCTAATAAATGTGAAGACAAAAGGGTCCTATTAACAGTTTACGAGCAAGTGAGAATGATGGAAGTGGCAAGGAATGAAACATGTGAAGGGAGAAGCAAACAGCTAACCTTTTTGATACACTCATAAATCCACTCACAAGTTACTGTTGGGATGCCATTCTTACAAGCAAACTCATATTTTCGGCCACTTCTGAATTTGCACAATAAATGTGTGACATTTCTAGTCAAATTATCAGCAAACTTAGCTCCAAGAATAAATAACAAATTTCTTAGCAGCTGCTTTTCTTTTTCATTGAATTGTGAAACACACAAACGGAATCTCCTAAATTCAGGGAAAGGTACTTCACAAGGAAGTGGAGAATAGCAAATGTGACTGCCAATGTCCAGCAAGCATCCATCCTTCATAAAAGCATTTCCAGCTTCATTAGCATTCATTTGCAACAAATGGAAACACTGCAAGTACAAGAGATACCCAGATATACATATATTACCCCTATACCCAGATTTACATATACTACCTCCGTCTGATCTTATGTGTTGTTTTGAATTGGAAAAAAAAATAATGAAGTGGTTGAAAAGTAAAAGTTGCGGTTCATGTTTGTGTAGACTGTAGAATAAAGTGAAATGATATGAATCACACATTTCTTACCAAAAAAGGAAACGAGATGATTATTTGGGGACAACCAAAATGGGACGGAAAGAGTATTACCCCATACACCTTTGACAAGCCACTTTAAATAGTCATGAAAACATAGCGCCTCATGAAAAAAAGGATTATTAGCTTATTTTATCCCAAATTATCATCAAATTCACAAATCTATCCTACACTTTCATTTGTATATAAAAAAGACTCAAACTTCATGTTTTTCAACAATTATGCTTTTCTTGTTTGTTTTTTCAAAATTACACACTTTTATCAATACAAATAAGATAATAAGCAATACAATTTTGTAAACTTAGAACTAGAAAGAAGTGAAAAAATATGAAATATAAATATAGTTTTTTCTTCTTAATTTTTACTAATTCATCCATAGAAAAATTAATTGTAAAAAAAATTGAAGTTTGAGTCTTTTTTTTTAAATAAAAGTGAAAGTATGAGATAGATTTGTGAATTTCATGATAGTTGGGGATATATTTAGCTAATAATCCTGAAAAAAATATATAACATTTTAGAACAATGGTAAGAACTTTAGAACAACAGGAAGGTTGCGACACAAAAGGGCTTACAGCATAAGACTATTCCACTGCTTTATTTATTTATTTTTACAACAACACTCAAGCTTTATTCCCAAAAGTGTTTTGGGGTTAGCTAACAAGAATCGACATATTATATCAGAGTTAAAAACATTAGTTGGAATTTAAGTTGGAATTAGTTTTCTTTTAAGTTTAGAGGGTAGAAGACGATATTTAATTACCAGATCATCACAACAACATTTTATATCTCACAGAAGTTGTGTTCATTATAGGCTGCATTTTAGTCTGGGGGAACTAGTATCACAGATTGGCTACATTTTCGTCGGTGATACTAGTATCTTAGGTTGGCATTTTCCCAAGTGAAACATACCATTAAGATCTAAAATTTGCATAATGATAACTAGGTAAGTCATATTCAGAAATATATAAAAAGAACTATATACTCCCTCCGTCCTAAAAACAACTTAACACTTCGTTTTTCACACATATTAAGGAAATAAACTTATTGGGGGTAAATTTTACTGTTTTGACACTGTTTGGACACTGTTTAGCACTGTTTGACATTGTTTTGATGTAGATAATTTGCCAAATAAGGAAGTGAGAAGAAGTGTGAAGTTAATTTTGGGACATCCATTTAAGGAAAGTGGGAAGTTGTTTTTGGGATGGAGGGAGTATATATCTAAACAAAACTTAATCCAGTGACTAGACAAAATGCAAAGGAAAACAACTCGAGTTTGCATTATGATAGAGAACACCAGATACTCTCAAATAGATCACTTACCTCCAAACAAGACTTAATCCAGTGACTTGTCACATATGCCCCTGTAGCAGCATCTGTCTGGGAGGGTATCACACCATGGCATTCAATAACAAAATGCACATATCTTTTAATCTGACTATCCACTAACTCTCCTCCACCTTGGTTCACCCACTGTACAATGTCAGCTCTCTGCCCATACACAAATGGATATTCTTCATCATACACTCATACAGATAAACAGAGCTTGTGAGCAAATGGTGAGAAAGAGAAATAATATCACAGGAAATCTGTGATGACTATGAATCAATTATGTTGGTGGGATAAACTAAAACTCTATTGTATATTGGTGTTGCACTTGTAGTGCAGAAACTAACTGGCATATGCTTTGAGGTCAGGGACGGATTTGGAGGGGGGGGGGGGGGGGGGGGGCAACCACCCCCTTGGAACTGTAGAAAAATTTAGTAAATATATAATATTTATATTTTTTTATGCTTAAACTATACATATAAATGTCCGCCCCCTTGATTTTTTTGATATCTTCCGTGGAAAAGTTACTTTTTATGGAAATGGGAAGTTTATTTTGGGACATCCAAATAAGGAAAGTGAGAGGTTGTTTTGGGAACGGAGGTAGTATAATTTATGTTTTCTTAGTAAATATAGATGGTACTAATTCTCTGATTTCAGCAATATAATAATAGTAAAATTCATTAGTTTAAAATATCCGATATCAACTCTATAACAATAGAATGTAATTTTTTAAACTTTATCTTTTTATAAGAAAAAAAATCTTATACTCTTTATCTTTCTTATGTTCCTATCTGTTTTCTCTCTTTTCTCTCTCTTTATTTTATATTTTTGTCTTCTTTATCTTTCTTATGTTATTTTTATCTTTCATCTTTCTTATGTTCTCTTATCTTATACTCCGTATTTATCTTATCTTTTAAATCTTAACTTATCTTTTTATTCTTCTTATCTTTCTTTTCTTTTTGGCTCCGATGTCATGGATTGACCCCAAAATCTTTAGGGAATACGGCTTGGATGTTGTTGTTGTTGTTGTTGTTGTATAAGATAAAAAAATATATATGATTGCAGAATACATACTAAGTTATATTGAAGATTTTAGTAGAAATCAATGGAGCAAATTTCTGATAAAGTTCGAATTGAACCATATATAAACATGTGTGATATATAAAAAAGAGAGACATAATAAGTCTAGTTTCTGAGTTATTTAAAAAAAATTGATATCGAGTAAATATTAAGCATTCAAAGATTTTAGCATTAACACAGATAACATATACACATTACACACATTACATAAACTATCAATACTTGTATTATTAGAACATAATATTAATTCAAAATAAATAATCCCATATGTAACATTGTTTAGTTAATAGTTACATATACTTTCTTGGGCTACAGGCAATCAGGCATTCAATTATGTAAATAAGCATATCCGGGTATCCATCGTTTAAACACTCTATTGTGTAAATAAATTAATACGTAGTAATTACGAAACTTGGAGATCAATCCTAAGAGGTGGGAGCAGTAGCCCAAGATCTTATAAATTGATTTGAATCTTTACATGTGGCTGGCGCCGAACGCGGGATGACTTAACATGCCCCGTAAGATCGTGGCAATTGGAGCATATAAATATTGAAGTTTGTGTGCTCGTTCATGCGTCTTATCAAATCCATCACTTGTCTAAAGCTCGTTCTTATTAACATTAAATTGTTTTTATACAAAAAAGTAATCCTTTTAAATATTCTATTATCTTCTTAAAATATTTTTTATCAATTTCTTTTAAATATAATGGTATATAAAGTAGTTTTGTAGTGAAAACATTCACCCCTTAACACAAAATCTTGGATATATCCCTACTTGTGGCAACATAATTACAAAATGTGGCTTTGCGTAGGTAAAGAAATCAGAAATCATGTTTTGGCTGCATCAAAGTGATGATGCACATATTATAAAATGTGTGGTTTAAGCTCTATAAGAAATTACAAGAAGATTAAATGAGAGGCAAAATAGGAGTATGAGAGAGAGATACTATTGTCCCATCATCTACATTACAATTATCAGTTGTTTTGAGTCTTCCCAACTTTGCATATAATTTGCTTGCCATCACTAAAATTACCCGTACCCTTTATTGTTATGTGACAGTTTTTCCTAGATATTGTGTGTTTTAAGATTTGTTAATGAAGCGGACTATTGGTGGACGTGAGTAAGGTGGCCTTTATATTTTGGATACATCAATTACAAAAGGTATCTCTTTCTTGGGGTTGGTTAGAGGCTCATTACCAATTAGGATGTCCATCTCTCCCACTGATAGAACACTGGCAGTAATGAACACAGAACAATCACAATTCTAAGGAAAATGTAGCTAGAACAGATCACAATCAGTGTATTGAGAGAGAGAGAAAGTCGGTAAAGGGGTACAGGGTGGGACAGTTCGAGATGCCCAATCTCCAAGCTACCAGCCAATGACAAAATAACAGCCTGCCTTATTTTGTTCTCTACTTACTATTTATAGCTCATTGTCCACGCAGGGACCAACCGAACTAGCTATTATATAGTTAAGTAATAATACTACTTATTTCTCCTCTTGTACACCTTATTGAAGTATTGAATAGGCTGTTGCTGTCCCCCAAGCCTATCATTACTCCCCCCTGGAATTTCACCTTGTCCCCAAGGTGAAGATCTGGAAACTGTTCTGTCAATGACTGCAGTACTTCCCATGAATCTTCAAATGGAGGTAAGTCTTTCCAGTGGACTAGGACTTCCATCTTTCTCTCCTTGTTCACCCTTGAATCCAGTATTTCTTCTGGTTTCACCTGTAGTTCCCATTCATCACTCAGACATGCTGGTAGAGGTTGAAATGCAGTGGTAGATGGTATAGCTTTCTTCAGAAGTGAGACATGAAATATTGGATGTACTTTACTGTCTGTAGGTAATTGAAGTTTAAAGGCTACCGGACTGATTTTTTTAATAATCTCAAAAGGGCCATAATATCTGGGACTTAGTTTTTGGTTGATTCTCCTGGCCAGACTCCTGAGCTTGTAAGGTTGTATTTTTAAATAGACCATATCTCCCACTGTCAAAAGCACCTCTCTCCTGTGCTTATTTGCCTGTTTTTTCATTTGATTTTGGGCTCTTTCCAAATTCTCCTTCAATTCTCTGAGCATCATGTTCCTTTGTGCAGTCATTTTGGAAACTTCTTCAACAGCTGTAATACTAGCATCCCCTCTAATCACTGTAGGAGGGTCCTGGCCATATAAAGCTTTGTAGGGTGTCATTTTCAGGGATGCATGATAGTTGGTATTATACCAGAATTCTGCCCAAGCTAACCAATCAGCCCAATGTTTAGGTTTCTTGCCAGTAATGCACCTCAGGTAGGTTTCCAAGCATCTATTGACCACTTCTGTTTGTCCATCTGTTTGTGGGTGATAAGCTGTGCTGTATTTGAGTTTTGTTCCAGCTAATTTGAAGAGTTCAGACCAAAAGGCACTCATAAATATGCTATCCCGGTCACTCACAATAGTTTTGGGGAACCCATGCAACTTGACTACCTCTCTGATGAAAAGTTCAGCCACCTCTTTGGCATTAAATGGATGTGATAAAGCTAAGAAGTGAGCTGACTTAGTCAGTCTGTCCACAACCACCATGATAGTATCTTTTCCATGTAATTTTGGCAGCCCTCCCACAAAATCCATGGAAATGTCAGTCCAGATATTCTGAGGAATAGGCAGGGGTTGTAACAACCCGGCTGGTTTTAGAGCTTGATATTTGTTTGTTTGACATGTAGGACATTCATCCACAAACTTCTTTATGTCCTTTCTCATTCCATGCCAATAAAACAAATTAGATATTCTCTTCATTGTTCTAAAGTATCCCGAGTGACCACCAATAGCAGAATCATGATATTCCTTCATAATTCTGATAACTCTAGGAGATTTACTAGGTAAAACTAGTCTCCCTCTGTAATATAATAACCCCTTGATAGTCTGAAACTCCTGATGTTGATCTGGCTGTGATATGATCTGCTGGAGTATTGATTGGCATTTGAGATCTGTAAGTAACTCTTCTTCCAAACCTTCCTATTCCTGTGAAGTGACTATGGAAATAGCATTGAGAGAGGGTCTTCTGGATAAAGAATCTGCAGCTCTATTCTCCACTCCAGGTTTATACTTGATAATGAAATTGTAACCCAGTAATTTGGAAGTCCATCTTTGTTGCTCCTCCCCCAACAATCTTTGTTCTGTTAAGAATCTTAAGCTTTTCTGATATGTATGGACTTCAAAAGTTCTCCCTAACAGGTAAGGTCTCCATTTTTGGACTGCCAAAACAATAGCCATCAACTCTCTTTCATAGACTGACCTGTTCTGGTTTCTTTTAGACAATTCCTTACTCATATATGCAATAGGTCGACCTTCCTGCATCAAAACAGCCCCCAGACCTGTACCAGAAGCATCCGTTTCTACAATGAAGACCTTATTAAAATCTGGGGTTGCCAAAACTGGTAGAGTGGTCATCCTGTTCTTTAATTCCTCAAACGCCTTTGTAGCCTCTGTCCCCCACTGGAAACTGTCTTTCTTTAGAAGCTGTGTTAAAGGTAAAGCAATCTTGCCATAACCTTTTACAAACCGTCTGTAGTAGCCAGTAAGTCCCAGAAATCCCCTCAATCCTTTCACATCCTTAGGCTGTGGCCACTGAATCATAGCCTCTATCTTGGTAGGGTCTGCAGCAACTCCACTCCCAGATATTATATGACCCAAGTATACCAGTTCAGATTGCCCAAAAGAACATTTTTTTGAGTTTATAACTAACTGATTCTCCTTCAATGCAAGTAATACCTTCCTCAAATGTGTTTGATGCTCTTCCCTGGATTTACTATATATGAGAATGTCATCAAAGAAAACCAGGGCAAATTTTCTGAGGAAAGGCCTTAAGACTTGATTCATGAGTGCTTGGAAAGTAGATGGTGCATTGGTCAAACCAAAGGGCATTACCAAGTACTCATAATGCCCTTCATGAGTTCTGAATGCAGTCTTTTGCCTATCTTCCTCCTTCATTCTTATCTGGTGATAACCAGATTTCAAGTCCAATTTGGAAAAAATCATAGCTCCACCTAACTCATCCAGCAGTTCTTCAATGATAGGTATAGGGAATTTGTCAGGTACAGTAATCTTGTTCAAAGCCCTATAGTCACCACAGAACCTCCAACCCCCATCCTTCTTCTTAGCTAATAAGATAGGGCTACTATAAGGGCTATTACTGTGCTGGATTATACCTTCATTGAGCATTTCTTTTATGATTTTCTCAATTTCAGTTTTCTGGTAATGAGGATACCTGTAGGGCCTTATGTTTGGGATCTGTGCTCCTTCCTGAATATTGATTGCATGGTCACATGATCTGCTGGGAGGAAGTGTCTTCAAAGGTGTGCAAACTTCTGGAAATTCTGCCAAAATCTGCTTCCAGGTTTCATCTATTTCTTCCCCTTTTTTAAATTCCCCAGACTTGCCTTCACACAGAATCAAATACCCATCCCCTGCATCATTTAAAATCTGAGTCATGATGTTCAAAGATACCTCCAGAGAATTCAAATGTGGATCCCCTTGTATTATTTGATTCTTCCCTTGCTCCTGCCACCTGATCACCTGTTTTTTAAAATTTACTTCCACATCTCCTAAGCTGGTCAACCATTCCATCCCAAGCACCATATCAGTACCCCCGAGATCCAGGATATAAAAATCCTGCTCAATTTCTGCTTCTTGTAAATCTACAGTTAATGCTTCACACCTCCCATTATTAACCAGTTTGTCATCATTGCCAATCTGTACCTTATACCCTGTAATAGTGGTGTAAGGTATCCTGAGTTTATTCACCATCTCTTGAGATATAAAGTTGTGAGTAGCTCCACTGTCAATGAGTATGTCCACTTCTTTTTCTCCCACTTCCCATTTCAAGCAACCCTTCACCTTGAAAGCTCTCATGGAAGGAATCCCTTCCTTACTCATGAGTGATAACTGCATTGATTTGGATTCCATGCTATGATGCTAGTCTCCTCTTCTACAGGAATTTCCCTTTCTTCCCCATCAGAATTTTCTTCTTCTGTAGAATCTTCTACCATAATCAACTTATAGTTTTTCAGTTTACAAGTATGATCCCTATTCCATTTCTCTCCGCATTTAAAACAAAGTCCCTTCCTACTTCTTTCCTGATATTCTTCTTGTGACAACTGAGGTCCCACTTTTCTAATGCCAGAGGGATGTATTTCAGTAATCTTCCGTCCTGCTTTATCAAACCAAGCATTGTTATTCTTGTCTTCAGCCCCATTTTTTCTCTGATTTGACCAGGAATTTCCAAATCTGCTCTTGAATCCTTCACCCCAAGTCTGATTTTTCACAGGCAACGGTCCTCTCTCCTTCCCAGAAAATTTATCCTCCTCTTTTCTCTTCAAATATTTGGCCTCATTCTTCTGCTCAATTAGAATGGTCTTATCCATAATTTCAGTCAACGATCTGGAAGCAAACAGTTTCAGCTCAGATTTGATCTCCTGCTTGAGGCCTGATATGAAAATTCCTCTCAATAACTCTGTATCCATATTCTGTTGTGGTGCTATCACCATTTCGAATTCTGCTCTGTATTCCTCCACAGTTCCCGTTTGTTTCACACTGAGTATAGGCCCATACGGATTTTGAAGTAATTCCGGTTGAAATCTACGGATAACAGATTTCTTCAGCACCTCCCAACTTGTTTCTTCCGTCTGATTTTCCCACAGGTGAAACCAATTCAAAGCTCTGTCCTCCATGGCGACCATAGATGCTTCCACCTTCTCCTCTTCAACAATCTGATTCAATCTAAAATATCTCTCCATTCGTATTATCCAGTTGTAAGCTCCCTCTCCATTAAACAATGGTAAATCGATTTTTCTTCCAGTACGTACCGGTAATCTCACATGCTCCTCAGTACGAAGATGATTATGGATATGAGAATATACTGAGTTACCTCTAGACGTCGCAGGGCTGTGCGAAGTCTGTCGACGATGATGATGGCGAGATCGCGACCTCCTACTCGCACGGAATTCCTCGCTCATAGCATCCATCTTACCGTCATGTTATCCATCATCGTTCTCATGTGTAACAGCGTTTCCTCAGTCGCTATTCTGCTACGTTCCATCTCCTCCCTTAGATTTTCCATTTTGCCTCTCGTTCGGACCATTCACAATTCGGATCGAGAGAGAAAAAACTTTCTGGCGATGCTTCTACGAATTTTCCGATCACCAGAACAATTGCTCTGATACCAATGATAGAACACCGGCAGTAATGAACACAGAACAATCACAATTCTAAGGAAAATGTAGCTAGAACATATCACAATCAGTGTATTGAGAGAGAGAGAAAGTCGGTAAAGGGGTACAGGGTGGGACAGTTCGAGATGCCCAATCTCCAAGCTACCAGCCAATGACAAAATAACAGTCTGCCTTATTTTGTTCTCTACTTACTATTTATAGCTCATTGTCCACGCAGGGACCAACCGAACTAGCTATTATATAGTTAAGTAATAATACTACTTATTTCTCCTCTTGTACACCTTATTGAAGTATTGAATAGGCTGTTGCTGTCCCCCAAGCCTATCACCCACTAATAAAGCGAATACATCCTGAATTTAATAAGGTGCCATCTTTACGATGTGAGTCATATCAATTTGTGAAACATCATCGTACTAGTTTAAGTCCTCGAGTTCATCAATGAGCAAATGCTCCCTTTGACCTTATTCATTCATGTGTTTGTGGTGCTTGTCTCATTGTGTCTAAATCTAATCTTAAATATTTTGATAATTAATCAGTATGATGTGATTATATTTTATGAAACATCGGCCTGAGTTGTTCACTCACTTTTCTTCCTTTTGTACTAAAATAAAAACCTGGTTTAATGTTCTTATTTGTGTGTTAAGAGGAGACAACATCCAAGAATTTATATCCTCTTAGTTTAAGTCATTTATGCGACAACATAGTTGTCCCAAATCAGGATAAAGGAAGAGGGTGGTGTGGTAGGCGCGTGACGGCCAAAAGTATCACTTAGTCACATCACATGACATGAATCAAAATACTCTTAACCACGACGTTCTGAACCCAGCTCACGTACTGCTTTAATGTGCGAACAGACTAACCCTTGGAATTCTAAGGCTTGGATGTTCATGTTGTATGCGTCAACATGGCATTATTCATCAAACTTCATGCGTCGACACGCCTCAAAATGGATTAGTTGAATGAAACAACCAACATGTGCATCAACACACCTCTTCACATAACATGTCTATACTAGGGGTAGGGCTTGAGTAGTAAGTCTGCCTACATCTCAACCTACCCTACTTCTGAGTGGAAATACTCTATATGTTTGGTTTAGTAGATCTTCATAACAAGTAAACATAAGTGCAAGGATATGAAGCAACAAAAAGAAGCATTATGGCATGCATGATGGTGTGTGGATTTGAAATATTGAGTGGTGATTATGAAAGAAAAAAGGAAAAGGCTATGTCGACCATTTTCTAGATGGAGGATAGTGTTGGACTATATAGTCTAACTATCTTTCTTATCATTCCCTAGAAGTTCCTCTTCAAGCCTTTTACTCAACATATAAGGTTCTACTTTTACAGTGTGGTATCCAAGAAATTCAAACTTTGATTGGAGTGTAAAAGAATGAAAGTGAGTTTGGTAATCCCTTTGACCTGAGAAAGTTTGGTCAGAGTTCCTTAAAAAAGGTAAGTTTTCAAACCAGTGGGTGACTTGATCCCCCCCAGAAATTACACTTACCACTTTCTCTGGATTTTGGAGTTTAATTCATTAATTGATGGGATAACACTAAGCGGTTCCAGGTGCACAGGTATGGTTCATATATTGTTCAATGGGTGAGTCAGAACTTATTGTGAAAATTGAGAGTGGCATAGTCCTTATACTGGAGAAGCATAGTAATGTAGGGAAGCTTAGTTGGTTTTTGAAAGTGTGTGATATCAAAGTGCTTACCTGCTTATCAGGGAAGCTAGCAGAGAAGCAAAACCGCTTTCCCTTAAATACAGCAGATGACTTTATATCCTCAATGGCTCCACTGGTGCTTGCTTGCATCTTAATCTCATCTTTACCATTCAATGTAGAGATTTGGGATTGGCTTTCGATCTGAGAAGCTCCTCTCTTTTTTATGCCATCTACTTCTTTGCTCTTCTCCAGTGAATTTCCAGATCCAAAATTCTTGTAGCACTGAACACTATCACTTGAGTTTCCTTGGTTGGAAAATGCATTGATCACAGAAGCTCCTTTATTGGAGCTGGCAAGTTCTATGGGCCAAAATACACAACAAATCAAATACTGTGTACCGAAACAGCATAAATGGTACCATAACTTATGGCATTGATGCACTTTGGTACCTCAAATATTTAATGAAGCAAATAAGTAATCTAAGTAATTTAATTGTCATAACCGGTGGTCCATTTGAGATACTGGATAAAGTCATCTGACTTGGAAAGTTGGAAGTCTGCGCTTCACATACATTCCTCAAAAGAATATACTCCCTCTGTCCCATTTTGTAAATTGAACTCCACTAACTTTTTACTTTCCCACTTTATCCCTTTATCTGTCATTTCACCCTCTACTTTTTGTGGACTCATCTTTCTCTTTCTTACTCTTTGGAGGTTAGAATTGTAAAACAACCACTTTATCCTTTATTTTCTTAAAACCCACACTGAACCCACATGTATCTTACATTATGGGATGGGGGTAGTATAATATTATAATTCACATAATAATCAGTGTTATCAAACTCAGACCTAGCAGTCTTACTGATTCTAATGAGACCATACATGTAGCTAGTCTAGTCACTCCAGCAATCAGAACTGCACTCGACTTAGTGATTAGTGATGACTGATGATCTCACACTTGGTGGATTTGTTAAGTACACTTTTTTGTCAAATGCACAAATTTAGGCTGCCAGGTCATATTATTTTGGCGGGAATTTCAATTCAGATGATATTATTAGTTGAGACAATTGAATGCACTTGATACTTATTTGCTTCAGTCAATAGTTGGGAATTGGGATACCAAAATGCATTATCAACAGTGATGTGCCATTTATGCATTTAACCTTAAGGTCCTTAATGAATTACTCATAAAGGCAAGCAAGTGCATGCAAACATGACACTTAAATGCGATATAAGTAAGGTATATCACGGAAAGATATGACCCACGAGATGACAGCAAAAACAATAACAATAAAAAATAGAGTAATCAAAGTAAGCAGACCTCTGAGTAGAAGCAAATCATTGGCAATGTGCTTTTGAAGCACACAGACTTCTTTCTTTTCACTTATGCAATCTGCAAGCCAATCTGGTTTTACCACATGGATTACACCCAAAGCTGCAAGGTTTCTTATCTCTTTTATTTCACTACAAAACCGTAAAATTCAGTCTATGAGAAGGATGTAAGAGCTAACTATGTAAGGATATCATGATACCAAGATTTTTGAAGTGAAGTATGCACACAAGGATTGTATTGAGATACTGTAACATCTACAAAATATATTTTCATCATAGAGCTGATAACTTCTTTCCATCATTTTCAATGGAGCCAAAGACTCACTATTTTTTGGCTTGGGAATATGATGGAATAAAGCAAAATGGCTCACTAAATTGTCTGCGCTTCTTTTTTATGAAGTAACAGTCAGCCTATGCAATTTTCGACGCGATTTTCACTATGGGTCATTCGGAAACAGTCTCTTTGTGCTTAAGTACAGGGGTAAGACTGCGTACATCCGACCCCCCCTTACCCCACCGTAGGTGGGAGTCTTTGCGGCACTGGGGTAATGATGATGAATGATGAATGAATGAGAGCTGATAACTTAATTAGTCAGACCAGCTGGCTTGATAAGTAGTAATAGTGAATCAAAGAAATAAGACTGTTGAAATATAAACTACAATGCTATTAAAGATGGAGAGAAGGATTTTCTGTGTTTTTCATTAGAGGGTTAAGGCCCTATATATATATTACAAAATGGAATATTCCTATATAAGATGCTATACAATAATAATGTCTAGAGTATATTCCTAAAGCATATTCTAGAGCATATTCCTAAAACATATTCCTAGATACAATAATACTTTTACACTCCCCCTCAAGTTGGAGCATAGATATTTATCATGCCCAACTTGTTACATAAGTAATCAACTCGAATCCCATTTAGAGCTTTAGTGAATAAATCTCCAAGTTGTTCTCCAGTCTTCACATACCCGGTAGAGATTAATCCTTTTTGTATCTTCTCTCGAATAAAATGGCAATCAACCTCAATATGCTTTGTTCTCTCGTGAAATACGGGGTTGTTTGCTATGTGTATAGCAGCTTGGTTATCGCACCACAACTGAGCAGGCATTGGTGTCTTCAATCCAATTTCCTTCAATAAATGGTGTATCCATATTATCTCACATGCGGATTGTGCCATAGCTCGATATTCTGATTCAGCACTAGAACGAGAAACCACTTTCTGTTTCTTACTCTTCCAGGATACAAGATTACCACCAACAAAGACACAATAGCCAGATGTAGATCTTCGATCATCTTTAGAACCGGCCCAATCAGCATCTGCAAAGCATTCTATTCTCATGTGATCATGGTTTTGATAAACAATACCTCGTCCTGGTGCTCCCTTTAAGTAACATAATATGTGTTCTACAGCAGCCCAATGATCAATGGTCGGAGATGACATGTATTGACTCACTACACTCACAGAATAAGCAATATCTGGACGGGTGACTGCGAGATAATTAAGCTTTCCAACCAGTCTTCTATATCTTTCTGGGTCTTCAAATGGTGTGCCTTCTTGAGTGAGTTGCACGTTGGGAACCATGGGTGTTGTACTTGGTTTTGCCCCTAATTTCCCTGTCTCAGCTAGTAAGTCAAGTACATATTTACGTTGAGATAGAAATATGCCTTTCTTACTTCGTGTTACCTCAATTCCCAGAAAGTATTTCAAAGAGCCAAGATCTTTCGTCTGGAATTGACTATGCAGAAAATTCTTAAGGGCCAAAATACCTGCATTATCACTCCCTGTAATCACAATATCATCAACATATACCACAAGCAATGTGACACCTGATTCTGTTTGTTTGTAAAATACAGAGTGGTCTGATTTGCCTTTTATCATTCCAAATTGTTCAATTGATTGACTGAATTTCCCAAACCATGCACGAGGACTCTGTTTCAGACCATAAAGAGATTTGCGAAGTCGACAAACTTTACCATACTCCCGCTGAGCAACAAATCCCGGAGGTTGCTCAATATAGACTTCTTCCTTAAGGTCACCATTCAAAAATGCATTTTTAATGTCCAATTGATGTAAGTGCCAATCATGAATTGCAGCGAGTGAGATAAGTAACCTGACAGATGTTAATTTAGCAACAGGAGAAAAAGTGTCAGAATAATCAACACCATAGGTTTGAGCATAACCCTTCGCAACTAATCGGGCTTTCAACCGAGCAACGGATCCGTCTGGGTTAACCTTAACAGCAAAGACCCACTTACATCCAATAGATTTCTTCCCTGTAGGTAAGTCAACCAAATCCCATGTACCATTAAGATCTAAAGCATTCATTTCCTCTACCATGGCTTGACGCCATTCAGGATGAGACAGAGCTTCTTTGACAGATTTGGGAACAGAAATAGAATCAATGGAAGCAATAAAAGAACATGAAGCAGGAGATAACTGATTGTACGACACAAATGAAGAAATAGGATGAGTACAAGACCGTGTACCTTTACGTACTGCTATTGGGAGATCAAGATCTGATGTGGAAACAAGATCTGAAGATGCAGATACTGGTTCAGGACATGAGATCGGAGTCGAACTAGTATCAAGAAAAGTAATCTCAGGTATCGCCGGTGGAGGGTGATCAGGTGCTTTGTGTCGACGGGTGTATACCAAATGTACGGGAGGCCTAGGGTCATGAACAGTAACTTGTGGAATATTTGTCGAAAGTGTGGACTCAGGAATAGTCATCGTGTAAATGAGAATATCATCATTACTCTCACGAATATCTGCCTTAGATGATGAAAAAGGTGTATTTTCATGAAATGATGCATCAATGGAAACAAGATACCGACCAGTACTCGGACAAAAACATCTATACCCCTTTTGGACTCGAGAATAACCCAAGAAAATACATTTTAATGATTTCGGATCTAACTTTGTTAGATGAGGATTAACATCTCTAACAAAACAAGTGCAACCAAATATTTTAGGTGGGATAGGAAAAAGCTCTCTGTTTGGAAATAGACAATGATAAGGAGCTTTACCATTCAAAACAGAAGATGGCATTCGATTTATCAAAAAACATGCAGTAGACACGGCATCTGCCCAAAACTGTTTAGGCACATTCATTTGGAATAGAAGAACCCTTGCAGTTTCTAACAGATGTCGGTTCTTTCGTTCCGCAACTCCATTTTGAGAGGTGTATCAACGCATGAAGTTTGATGAATAATGCCATGTTGAAGCATAAATGACTTAAATGTAGCAGATAGATATTCTTGGGCATTGTCTCCTCTTAACACCCGAACAGGAACGTTAAACTGAGTTTTAATTTCAGCACAAAAGGAAGAAAAATGAGTGAACAACTCATATCGACGTTTCATGAAATACAACCATGTCATACGAGAATAGTCGTCAACAAAGGTAACAAAATATTTAAAACCAGCTTTAGACACAACCGGGCAAGCACCCCAAACATCAGAGTGAACAAGGTCAAATGGAGCATTTGCTCGTTTATTAACTCGCGGGCCTAAGCTAGTACGATGGTGTTTCGCAAATTGACATGACTCACATTGTAAAGAGGTCATCTTATTAAATTGGGGATTTATTTGCTTCATTAATGGGAGAGATGGATGTCCTAATCGGTAATGAGCATCTAACAAAGTCCCAACCCCAAGACAAGAGATACCTTTGGTGATGGATGTATCCAAAATATATAGACCGGCTGACTCATGTCCTTTACCAATAATCTGCATCGTTAACAGATCCTGAAACACACAATATCCCGGAAAAAATGTTACAGAACAGTTAAGAGTACGAGTGATTTTACTGATGGAAAGCAGATTAAATGCAAAATTAGGAAGACTCAAAACAGGCGATAATGGTAATGTAGAAGTTGGAACAACAGTACCAGATCCAAGAACGGGTGAGGTAGATCCATCAGCTAAAGTGACACTAGAAGTAGTTAAATATGAATGAAATGACGAGAATAGACTAGGATTACCGGTCATATGATCTGTGGCACCTGAGTCAATGACCCATTTCGAGGATGAGGAAACAAGACACGTGTTTGAAATACCTGAATTAGCGGTTACCGAGATAGGGACAGAGGAATGCTTTAGAGTTTCTTGGTAGCAAATAAATTTGGCATGCTCGTCTGAAGAAATAGCAATTGATCCATCGGATGAACTGGTAGCGGAAGCAACATGAGCAAGCTGATTTCCTTGATTTTTGAACAGCAATTTTCTACATTCTTTGATCAAGTGTCCGGGCTTCTTACAGTAATTGCATATTACTCCTCTGTCAAATCCACTCGTACAAGACATTTTTTTTTTAATTTCTTTTTTTTTATTTATTTTTTTTTTTGTTTTTTTTTTTTATGAGAATGTAATTAAGTTCAAAATTGAGATATCCAATGAGAACTTACAGCAGCCCATTTGTGGACTCGACCTTGGAGAATAAAGTTGGGCTTTGACTGAGCAGCCCGTTTGTGGACTCAACCTGGAGAGTAAAAGATCCAACTATTTGGGCTTTGACTGCTAATCCAGACGGAGGGTCGATGCTAGAGTGCCAGACCTCAAAGAAGAACAGCCAGACAAAGGAGCGTGCGTATGTCCGTTACGAAGCCTGGAAGGAAGAAAAGATTTCCGCGTAGCCTGGACGATCTCTTTTCGATGTCAGCGTACTGAAGAGCTGGAAAGAAACGCAACCATCCCAAAGAGAAGCTACAGCAGAAGATAGGCGATATGCAGGCGAGCTGGATGGCGTTTTCCGATCCGAAATCTGGCCGCAGAATGACGTCACGTGCCGGCACGTGAGTTGAGGTCAGCGGGCTGTGGCAGCGCGTACGTCTCAGTCGCGTAGAGTTTGGGTGTCGGACTTTGGTTTCTGGGTCGTCGAAGGTAGCCGCACCACCTGGGTACGGTGGTGATGAAATGTGTGGTCTGAGAATTTCTTAGGTCTGGTGGGGCAGACTGTATGCTAAGGAATTTTCTAGGAAATTAGCTCAGGCTAATTGATTTTCTGGGAAATTAGAATGGTGCCTAGAGGTTATGAAGAATCTGATAAAACTGAACTCAAGTTCCTTGAAGGAAGAATCCAGTCTGAAAATTAAACTGAAATATGAAAAACTAAACTAAAATGGAAGGCTCTGATACCATGTTGAAATATAAACTACAATGCTATTAAAGATGGAGAGAAGGATTTTCTGTGTTTTTCATTAGAGGGTTAAGGCCCTATATATATATATTACAAAGATGGAATATTCCTATATAAGATGCTATACAATAATAATGTCTAGAGTATATTCCTAAAGCATATTCTAGAGCATATTCCTAAAACATATTCCTAGATACAATAATACTTTTACAAAGACAAAGCCATATAAGAATAACTTGTTCTTCATAGTCATCATAAAGATTTTCACCTTGCATGTCAAGTAAAAAAAGTCCATAAATAGGGCTAACACAGCAAATTTCAACAAATAGAACTATCATTGTTTTTTCCTAGAAATAAGACTCATTCATGTTGTACTGTATCCTAATTTTAGTAGAAAACAAGGATGTTCCTATTTGTGCACATAAGCCATGTTGTACTCTATTTGCAAAAAAACATGTTGTACTCTTATTTGCACTAATTTCTTCTAAAAATATATGAAGCATCAGTAATTAGCTAGAGGATGAGGGCAGTAGTAGTATATTAAAATAGCTACACGTAGTAAAAAATAGTTACTGGAACATTAATATGATAATTTATTGAGTATATCATGCACTATCTTACTGAATAATGACATGGCAGTGACAAAAAAAACTTTGTGAATATTATTACTGCATACAAGGCAAAATTAGTTAGAGTGGAATATAGATTGAGGTCAAGAACATGTCAACATGATAATGAAATGGAAGCCAAAAAGTGTTCAAGATGTTTTCAGAGTTATGCACAGCAATGAATAACCTGACGTGCACAGCAAGTTTCATAGATCTTACATCTCTGATGGAGATCCGACTATTATGTGTGTCAACTTCTCACTGAAAGACATATAGCGGGAACCACCACCTTTACGAACCATGTTCACAAGTTTTCGCATATCGGATTCACTAAAACCAAGAATCAGAAGTCTGCAATCTGACAAGTATAAATCGTTATCATCTGTTTGGAAGTCAGAAGCAACGCATTCATCAAAATTTGTATCATTTTTTCGCTGCTCAGTGGGTAGATCATTTGATTCCCTCTTGGAAAAGAAAGGTTCCTTTGAAAATGAAGGGGTGTTCTGAGAGAAGGTGCCCCCCTTATCTGAATCTACAGTGTAACCATATGAAACAGCTTGAGAATTTGATATTGTTGCAGTGGAGGACAAAGTTTGCACACTTTGAATGCCACTCTCTATGCTTTGTTGATTTTTCATTCTTGCAGCATTCACAGTTGCTGCAGAGGTACCCTGAATAGGATAGGACTCCTCATTAAGGCGTGCTGTTCATCGCAAAGAGGTTAAAAATCATTCACCTCAGCTTTATAATATTATAGTTCGAGGTGGAACTTTGGGGGAAAAACTAAGCTGCTTCAACCAACAAAAACACTACCTCTTTTAGCAACAGATTGGTCAAGCCACCTCTTGCTAACAATGTGTATTGTACCCCATTTTGTGGCAACTTCATATTTATCTCCTTTAGGAGCTTATGACAGTCAAGAAAACAAATGCCCCCAATGCTTAAGCAGATTCAATGCATGTGCACCTTCTAAATGCTAAGAGCCTAAGATCAAATGTGTTGGAAATGGGATTGCGGAATAAAATCAAGAGAGAATTCCCTAAATAGGAGTAAATTTCTGCCAAGTTTGGCATTACTAGGCTTTAAACATGACATTTTTTCCCCAAACTTGGCAGATTACTCCTATTCAGGGAATAAAAAACATGATACTCCTATTTTGGAATTTCAAAACGTTTTTGCTCCTATTTAGAGCAATTTCTGTAAAATCAAAATACATCATTTGATGAAGCCTCCACTCAGCAAACACTCATTCATCAGGGCTGAGAACATGAAAGACTGTGTTTGAGGGGTGGGGTTGGGGGCTCTTGAATTGGCAATTACCATAACATCCCAACAAGGAAGGGAAAACCTGGGCACCAATACAGTTATACGATTACTAACTTCTAATTGATGCATATCATTACATATACTCATGATGGATCATATTTGATGCAAAATAATCTCTCCAAGAAACTGATGGTACAAGATGAGTAACGCCAATAAAATAAGGATATCCCGCAAATTAAATGTGTGCAAGTTTTTGTCAGTTCACGAGAATATTTGCCTCCATTTTGTAGGACTATATTTTCCACCTCCGTCTTCTCATCTGAAACAGAACATATGTATTTCAAAACAAACATTTAAAACAGACCCATTAATTAATATGATTCCCGAACCTGTACATATCCTGGTAATACAGATGGTAAGCCCAGAAAAAGGTTGGACCCTGAATGACTCTGGAGCAACAAAGTGATGCTCCTTCCAGCACTGGAGTAGCCAAGTAATACTAACAATTGGTTTCTTCCCTACATTTAGTGCCCACTACAAATGTACCACATAAAGAAGAACAAAGAAAGAACTGGTTAAAAGATACAACAAAAAAGTAAGAAAAAATGTATGGAGTTAATTATATCAATGAAAATGAAAACAAAATGAAACCTTATACTCAAACTTAACAGACATTTAACTCGGTTCAGGCAGGAAGGCTGACTAGGCCTTGCCAAATTGCACAAATTTTAAGAGTAATGGTGGTATATGATTCCAATAATGAAGCCTTACAAATATTTCCATCATTTCCGATACAGCCAAAGACTCGCTATTTTTTTGGCTTGGGGATACGATGGAATAAAGCAAAATGGCTCACTAACTGTCCACGCTTCTTTGTTATGAAGCAGCATTCAGTCCATGCAATTTTCGACGCAATTTTCATCATGGGTCATCCGGAAACAGTCCCTCTATGTTTTAGTACAGGATAAGGTTGTGTACATCTGACTCCCCTTACTCCACCGTAGGTAAGAGTCTTTGCGGCACAAGGATAATGTTGTTGTTGTTGTTTAATTAAGCCTTACAAATCCTACCCATAGAGTCCTTGATGAGCAAAAAATAGAATATCAAATTAATGTAGGTATGCCAACTAATAGGAATAAAACTGTTACGGATCATTAGAAATGTCGTTTGTTGAATGCTCATTCTAGCAACATATGTTGTGGTGGCGTCGTGGCAAAGGTAGCTCCTCTCATAAGCAGCATCCATATCACCACCACCCTTGTTGACCAAGAGCATATTTGCAAGCTCAATTTAGGAAATTTCTCACGCAAAGGCACATGCTCCTCCCACATAGAGTCCTCTGTTGGAAATATGCCCTAGGGCAATCATAGAATATGATTTGCGCTTGGTTATGTTTAGTGATCATTCATTTAATAAAAACTCTGCCATGAGATCATTTTTTGGTATCATGCCTGTCTCAAGCCAGGATAAAGGAGGAGGGTGTTGTGGTAGGCGAGTGATGGCCAACAGTATCATATAGTCACATCGCATGACGTGAACCGAAATATAAATAGAGTACGTCGAGAAGTTCTTTGGGGCCCTAACTAGAAAAGGCATATCGCGTAAGTATGTCAGTATCATCATGGGTATGTACGAGGCTTGTACTACATGTGTTCGTACTAGTATACGGATGACATCAGAGTTCCCTATTACTATCAGAGTGCACCAAGGATCGACTCTGAGCCCTTTCCTATTTGCTATAGCCATGGATGAACTTACAAAATCATTTCAAAAAGATATATCGTGGTGCATGATGTTTAATGACGATATTGTATTGATTGATGAGACACAATCCAGTTTTAAAGCAAAGTTGGAAATATGGCGACAAACATTGGAGATCAAGGATTTAAGATTGGGCAGAAGCAAGATTGAGTATATGGAGTGCAAGTTTTGTGGAGGTAGAAGTTGTAGTACTAATGGGATAACCCTTGATGGCAAGGAAATACCAATGTGTGATATGTTCGTTACTTGGGCTCCATAATTCAGGAGGATGGTGAATTAGATGGAGATGTTTCTCATAGAATCAAAGCACGGTAGATGAAATGGAAGAGTGCATCAGAGAATAATTAGGCATGTATTAATGTGTGACGTGGAATGTTGGGCGGTGAAACAATGTCACATTCAAAAGATGAGCATGGCAGAAATGCATATGTTGCATTAGATGTGTTGGCATACCAAAAAAGACCGCTTGAGAAATGAGATCATCAAACAAAAGGTGAGAGTAACACCTATAGAATATAAGATGCAGGAGTCTCGATTGCGTTGGTTTGGTCATGTGTGCAGAAGATCGAGTGATGCACTAGTGAGACGACTTGAGAGGTGGGGAAAAGAGGCGAGGAAGAGAGGGAGACGAAGACCCAAACAGAATTGGATTAGAGGAATCAGAACTGATATGCTTTTTCTTGGGTTGGAGGAGACAGGAGAGTATAACTTTGGAGAGAGCAAAGTGAAGGACGCATATCCGTGTGGACTATTAATCTCTTTTCATTCTTTTCTCTTTTTTTCACTCTTTTTCTTGTATCTTTTATCATTTTTATATTTCTATGTCCTTATGGTATTTTTATATTTCTTATGCTCTTTTATCTTTTTATCTTCTATCTTTCTAATGTTCTTATGTTATTTTATCTTATATTTATCTTTATCTTATTCATTTTATCTTACTTTATCTTTTTATTCTTTAATCTTTCTTCTCTTGTTGGCTCTATTATCATGGATCGGTTCATGTTGACCGACCCCAAATTCTTTTGGTGAAAAAGCGTGGGTGTTGTTGTTGGATGTTGTATTCATTTAATAAAGTTAAAAACTCTTCTGTAGTATTTTTAGTACACTTTATTATTAATTTGCCATTGAATAATATGATTAGTAGTTGATTAAGTATATGATATGATTGAAGAATACTACGCATTCTTACAATCATAATATGTTAATAAGTCTATGGTCTATTATTATATGAAACATTAATGATATAAAGTTAAGTACGTAGATTAGTTTATGACTATGTTCAAATAGCTATACATAAAGAGATCAAGTTAATCACATAAATATTTGTTAAAAAATAAATTCATTGGACAAACCCACATAGGACTCTCCAAGTTTGTGTGCCATCAGAGTAGTCTAGTCATCAATATTTATAAGTGCATTATTCTTATACCTGAGAAAGATAAATACTACAACAACAACAACAACATTACCCCGGTGCCGCAAAGGCTCCCACCTACGGTGGAGTAAGGGGTGGTTAAATGTACGCAGCTTTACCCCTGTAATAAAGCACATAGAGATTGTTTTCGAATGACCCATAATGAAAATTGCGTCGAAAATTGAATGGGCTGACTGTTGCTTCATAACAAAGAAACGCAAATAGTTTAGTGGGTCATTTTGCTATATTCCACCATATTCCCAACCCCAAAAAGGTGAGTCTTTGGCTCCATCGGAAATGATGGAAAAGATATCATGTTACCAATATGAGAACTAATATGTTTACACATCATCAAACATTGTCTTTAACAGGTAACTATAAAAGTGATTATTACACATTATGAATCTTGTAGAGATATCTGAATCGTCGAGAATTCGAGATGGCTTTTGTCACTCCTATAAAAGGGGAGCACAACATCTTTTGGGCTCCTTAACAAGTAAGATTGATATTAACATGATCGTACACAAGTGAAGAGTCACTTGTTTAGATTGATCATACTCTGATGTAAGAAAAAGCGGTTGAGAATACAAGGACCTAGGACCACCTTTGTCTCTAACTCTAAGAAAAGCCATAAATTGGCAAAAAGTGGATGATCCTAAATGACGAAGTAAGTGTATTTGGACAGCTACTCAACTACCATTAAAATGGCTGATTTCCCTGCCACCTTCGGCAGCCACTCAACAAAGACCATGGATATCAAAATATGTGTGATCATTCTTGATGAGCTCGTGGCGGCAGTGATAGCTCTTCCATGAGTGTTGTACTGCCGTCCACACCAACAGTCAGATATGATGGGTACCGAATAGCAAACCAACAAACCATATGTCTCAAGACACATCTCTAGAAATGGAGAACTGATTCCCACAGTTTGAGCTCAAGAATAGGATCATGAAACCATCAAGTGAAATAACATCAACAAACACAAACTGTCCATAAATTTCAGAGTTGCCGCGTTTGTAAATAAGGTATTTAACATCGGCTTGAAAAAGTATAACCAACGCCAACACTTCCAAACATGAATCTGAAACAACCGTTAACCAAGAATTAGTAATGCTTCACTTTTATTTCTATGTTATTGTTATTTTAAGTTTATTCAAGGGAACAGATTCCATATAAATTTTCACCAAAACATGGTAAAGGTGCTTCCTAAATTACGTCTTCTACTGTCTTATAACTATAATGGTAGGATTTAGGCAGCATTTTCATATATCCTATGTTTTGTTCTGCAACTCTGGAATTATTTTAGTCATTCCCTAAAGAAGTAATGGCCAAATCGGGCGTAATCCTCCTCAAGTCTAACTGTAACTGGCAGTATGAGAAAGAGAGTATGTTACAGGCCTGGGTTTAAGATTGTCACATGACGGTGTGAAGAAGAAAGATAAAAGGTTTCATAGGAAGAAGAACAGTGCATATAATTCAAATTATAATAGTACTAGGAAATGTTGAGTCATCTGGACTCCCTAGCCAAACAGTTGGGCATATAAATTAAACTTTTATTCAAAACAATCCTTCTAATAAGAAATATGAAATTACAACCACTCCTAAAAACTAGAAAAGTGGTTCATTATCAAGATAGAAAGTTACAACCACTCCTAAAAACTAGGAAAGTGATCCGTGATATTGAATTGCTATTTGCTAACTGTGCATGCTGCACTTTTAAATTAACCCCAACAACTAAAACATTATTCAAGCTAACATAGAACAATCAAAAAGGCAATTATTATTGTTGTTATTATTATTATTATCGTCCACACTGCAGATGTTTCACGTGTAACTGTGTAAGCATTATGTTTCTTTTTCTGATTGCATTGTTGGTAGGTCATATCAAGGAACATATCAGATGTAACTCAGTCACTTCTTTTACACTCATATATTTTCACATGTGGTGAAGTGTCTAGCACTCTAGCCCAACTTGTGGAGTGTCTAGCCCAAGCTTGTGCCGAAGAAATTGCTAGCTTTACTAACCACTGACCAGTATGAGACTGAGGTAGATGACAAAGCATGTCTCTAATGCAAAACTAAATTCTCAAAGATATTATAATTTTGAAACACACGCAAAACAGCTAACTGAAGGATAAATCAATACCTTGTACTTTGCAGCCAAAACATTTTTCACAATGACGAAATTTAGGTCCATTGATACTTTTTCTTGAAAAACTCCTCCCATTGCTTTCACTAGCTTTTTTATTTCAAACTGCAAGGTACATTCAATGAAGAAGAGATCAATAACCTTGAATCCAGCTTAAAGGGAAGTTTTAAGATAAATTCTGGATAAAAAATAAGCTGGATTGAAATCACACTAACAGCTAACACTAATACTTAGGCAAATGTGCAAGTTTTACATAATCACAATCATACCTTTTAGAGATTTCAACCATATGATTTCAATCAATGTATCCTAGGACTTCTACCTATACATTTAATCTGCAAATGAGGCTGTGAATAACAAATCAAGCAATACCCCCCTCTCCCACGTTTGCAAAAGAATGATATTTTAATTGGGGCACAATGAATTCTAGATGATAGGAAATTTAATAATCCTCACATATGTCCAAATATATAATAACCACATAAAGATAGTAAAAACTTTCACAAAATCCAAATGAGAATGTTAGGAATATAAAATAATGTTGCATACGTATATTGTAAATAGCTTTAAACCTTCTAGATATACTTTGGGTTGTTAGTGCTGTTACACAGGCTGTTAGAGTTAGTTACTTGTATTCTACTAAAAATACTTGTATTGACTCTTATGATCAATAAGATTTGATTCTCCTTTATTCTAACTGAGTTCATTTTCTAATGTGGTATCAGAGCTTTAGCTCGATCAACCATGCCGGAAACTGATTCAACTTCATCTTCAACCTCTGCTACTGGAAGTGTCGTCTTTCCAGTCGCATTCAATCACCCTCTTCCAATCAAATTAGATTCGAATAACTATCTTTTGTGGAAGCATCATATTGAATCTGTGATTCGCGCGCGCAAACTCGTACGGTTCATAGAGAATTCGAAGACTCCTGAGCAATTCATCACCGATGAAGATGGGAAGAAGACTGTGAATGAGGCTTACGTTCTCTGGGATCAACAGGATCAAATGTTGTTTGCGTGGATGCTTTCATCTCTATCCGAAACCCTACATGCTCGTATTATTCATTGCCAGCGATCGTATGAACTTTGGAGCACGATTCGCAATTTCTTCCAAACTAACATCGTTGCTAGAGCAAGACAGCTCAAATCCGAACTCTATAACACCGGAAAAGGGGAACGATCCATCTCAGAGTACCTGCTTCGAATTCAGACAATTGTTAACAACCTTATTCTCGTAGGTGAACCGATCTCTAACAACGATCATATCAATGTTATACTCGAAGGATTGCCACAAGATTATGAAGCTCTTGTGTCCTCTGTAACTTCTCGCAGCATTCTCGAACCAGTCACCTTAGCTGAGCTTGAATCCTTGCTTCTAGCAAAAGAGGTGAGACTTAAGAAACATCATGACACTACTCAACAAAGTATATTCTGCGAACGTTGCTCAGGTTGATACTTCCTCTCAGAACAATTCATCTGAAATCTCTGTTACTGTTGAAAATGCCTCTGCAAATGTTTCTCAGTATAATAACCCAAATAGTGGTAATTCATACCGTGGACGTGGTCGTAGTGGTTATCACAGAGGCAGGGGTGGTCGCTCTGGACGTAATTCTATCATTTGTCAAGTCTGTGGAAAATCAGGTCATCATGCCTTGATTTGCTACCACAAATACAATCCTGCTTATACCAATCCAAACCCTAATCCTTCTTCTCAAAACTCTAATTACCCAAATCAAACCTCTGGACCTCCACCCTACTGGAATCCCAACTCACAATCTCACTATCCTCCAAATCATTATATTCATCAACCTAAACCATACACCTTTCAATCTTAGTCTATACAATCAAAACCCAATCAGTCGTGGAATCATCAACTTGCCAATCCACCTCCTGAAACCTTCAATTGGGGACATCAGCAACCTTTTAATACTCTACCAACTGCAAACTGTGCTACTGCTAATCATTCTGTACTTGGTCCTATTCCATCTAATCAACATTGGTTTCCAGATTCCGGAGCAACTCACCATGTTACTGCAGATCCACTGAATTTCCAGCACAGTGAACCTATTGCCACATCTGACAAGCTTTTCATGGGCAATGGCCAAGGTTTGGATATTAAGTCTATAGGTTTTTCTTCCTTTCCATCACCTTATCACTCCTCACAATCACTCTTACTAAATAATATACTTCATGTTCCTCATATAACCAAAAATCTACTGAGTGTTAGTCAATTTGCCAAGGACAATAATGTCTTCTTTGAATTTTATCCTCATGACTGTTATGTCAAATCTCAGGTTTCTAAACAGGTCTTGTTGCATGGAAAACTTGGTGAAGATGGCTTATACAAGTTTCCTTTCATTCCTCTTGGTCCATGCCCAACTGCTGCAGTTCATCCTCAAGCTTCTTTAGTGTCTAGTAATAAATTTGTGTATTCAGTGTCTTGTTTGTTAGTTTGTAATAAGTCCCAGTCATGTAATTATTCAATTTCATGTAATCTGTGGCATCTCATATTAGGTCATCCTCATCTTGACGCACTTAAATTTGTACTTATACATTGTAATGTGTCTTCTATTAATCACATTGATGTTGATTTCTGTTATGCTTGATGTCTTGGGAAGGCACATAGACTTCCTTCACATCCTTCTAATACTGTTTATCATAAACCCTTTGAAGTAATATTCACAGATCTTTGGGGTCAAGCACCCATTGTATCTTTTGATGGATATTCCTATTATATAGCCTTTATTGATGCCTTTACCAGATATACATGGATATATTTCTTGAAAAATAAGTTTGATGCTCTTCTAGCATTCCAAAATTTCTACAACTTCATTCTCAATCAATTTTCAATATCCATAAAATCTGTACAGTCTGACTGGGGAGGGGAATTTAGATCCTTCACTAATTTCCTCAATGAAAAAGGAATCACTCACAGAATCATATGCCCTCACACTCATCATAAAAATGGTGTGGTTGAAAGGAAACATCGCACTATTGTTGAAAAAGGTCTCTCAATCCTAGCCCACTCTTCTTTACCTTTTAAGTTCTGGGATGCTGCCTTTGCAACTTCTGTGCATCTTATCAATAGAACTCCATCTAAGTCCATTGCCAATTCCAGCCCATATTTTAAACTTTATGGATTTGTCCCAGATTATTCTTCCCTTAGAGTCTTTTGTTGCATTTGCTATCCTTTTCTCAGACCTTACAATAAACACAAGTTGGATTTTCACTCAAAAGAGGGTACATTCCTAGGATATTCCTCTCAGCATAAAGGCTATAAGTGTCTTTCCAAATCTGGCAGAGTGTACATTTCAAAGGATGTAATCTTTCATGAATCCAGTTTTCCCTATTCATCTGTATCCCAATCTTCCATTCCCATAACCAAACCTATTCATAACTCAGATTCTGCTATATTAGATGTTTTAAACTCAAATCCTCATTCTGGATCTAACTCATCTCAATCCCAACTTCATGAACTTCCATTCACTGACCCACAATCTCAGTCTCATAACCTCTCATCCAATAATTACCAGCCCACTGCCTCCCAACCCATCTCTTCTAATAATCACAATCAATCAGCAAGTTATTCATCTACTCCCTCCACTCATAATTCTTCAGTAAATTCCAACAACTCTACTCTCATCTGACTCTACTTCCTCAATTTCCAATTCTGTTCATATAACTAACACTCATTCTATGCAAACTAGAGCAAAATCAGGAATTATTAAACCTAGACTCAATCCTACCTTGCTATTAGCACATGTTGAGCCTCAGTCAGTGAAGCAAGCTCTCACATCTCCTCAATGGTTTTCTGCAATGCAAAATGAGTATAATGCCTTGATAGAAAATCAAACATGGTCTTTAGTTCCTTTACCACCTGACAAACAAGCTATAGGTTGTAAATGGGTCTTTCGAGTTAAAGAAAACCCTGATGGTTCTCTTAACAAATATAAGGCCAGACTAGTGGCCAAAGGCTTCCATCAAAGATTTGGATTTGATTTCAAAGAAACCTTTTCTCCAGTGGTCAAACCTATCACTATCAGAATTTTACTCACCTTGGCAGTTTCTTATCAGTGGTTCATTCAGCAATTAGATGTCAATAATGCTTTTCTAAATGGAAAGCTTGATGAAGAAGTCTACATGGTCCAACCCCCAGGCTTTCAGGCACAGGACACCACTTTAGTCTGCAAACTACACAAGTCATTGTATGGCCTAAAGCAGGCTCCTAGGGCCTGGTTTCACAAACTGACTTCAGTCCTTTATGCAGCAGGGTTTCAGCAAAGTCAATGTGATCCATCCCTCCTCTTCTTCAAGTCTCAAGGAGTTCAGATCTACATATTGATATATGTAGATGATATTCTGGTTATAGGCAATGATTATAAAGCAATTCAAAATCTTATTCACAAACTACACTCATCCTTTTCTCTCAAGCACTTGGGTGACATTGATTTCTTCCTAGGAATAGAAGTCAAAAAGCTGACTGATTGAAGTCTTCATCTCTCTCAAACCAAATACATAAGAGATTTATTACATCAAGCTGGCATGATTGATTCCAAAGGAGTGAAAACTCCCATGGTTAGTAGCTGCAAGCTAACTAATACAGGAAGTGCTACTCTTCATGATCCCTCCACTTATAGATCCATTGTTGGCATGCTGCAATATGCAACTCTTACAAGATCAGAACTCAGTTATGCTGTAAATAAGGTCTGTCAGTTCATGGCAGCACCTCTACAAGATCACTGGAAGGCAGTAAAACCCATTCTCAGATATCTATCTGGTACTATCACACATGGCATCATCATTAAACCTCTACCTCTGAAAACTATACCTTTACCTATCTCAGCCTTTTGTGATGTTGATTGGGCATCTGACCTAGTTGACAGAAGGTCCACTTCTGGATCATGCATCTTTCTTGGGTCAAACATCATTTCTTGGTGGTCCAAGAAACAACTGAGAGTGGCCAGATCCTCTGCAGAAGCTGAATACAAAAGTTTAGCAGACACTGCAGCTGAACTTCTGTGGGTTCAGTTCTTACTCAAAGAGCTTCAAGTATCATTTTCTACTCCAAAGGTCTACTGTGACAACCTCAACAGTGTACAGCTTGCCCACAACCCTGTGTTACACTCCAGGATAAAACACATGGAGATTGATCTCTTTTTTGTGAGGGAGAAAGTTCAGTCCAAGCAAATTGAAGTGTTCCATATTCCTGCTTCCCAACAAACTGCTGATATTCTGACAAAGCCTTTGTCTGCATCTTCTTTTCTTGAGTTACAAACCAAACTTAGTGTGATTGACCGACCTTCCAAATAAATCACCCTAAGATTGAGGGGGAATGTTAGGAATATAAAATAATGTTGCATACGTATATTGTAAATAGCTTTAAACCTTCTAGATATACTTTGGGTTGTTAGTGTTGTTACACAGGCTGTTAGAGTTAGTTACTTGTATTCTACTATAAATACTTGTATTGACTTTTATGATCAATAAGATTTGATTCTCCTTTATTCTATCTGAGTTCATTTTCTAATAGAGAAGTACTAGACATGACACAAATCATAATCACGCTTCAATAAGACCTTATTGTCATTAAGCACACCCCATCATAAAGTTTCATGATGCCCTACCTCTATTGTGTTATGCATGCATAATGCAATAGTGAAATCAAACAAAGAGATATACTTCAAGAGGCATAAGGATGCTTTAGTAAGATTTTTCCCCCTCAAACCCTCTCATACAAAAGTGCTAATAACTTAATAATTACTAGTAATACAGAAGAGGCTTGATGCACACTATAAGTAGGATAAATGGACGCTAAGTTCTTGGGTTTTCAGTTTTTATAATTTGTTAAGAAAACATCACTACGATCGTATTATTCATGACAGGTTACTCTCTGGTCTGAACGCAACCTCCAGTAAGGTCTGCCAGCATCCTTATGGTCTTTGCGTTGGCTCATTAGAACTTCAGAAATTTTTTATCTCTAACAACGAAGGCAGTATACCTTTTCGGCCTCCTTAAAACCAGATGCTAGTATTTTGACTCCGTCCATTGCAAGGCAGCATGTAAAACCTTGATTAGGGAGTGGCCTGTGTTCATTCGCACAAAAAAGTACACACCTAGGACCTGGCCAAAGAAGTAGAGAATATCAGCTAAAAAGTCAATGCAAGGAAGAGGGTGTCGGATGCATGAACAGAAATACTAAGCTTTTACCGATCAAATTGCAGCCTTTTGATAGGAGCTCATCGAATTTCACCTGCAATTAGAAAAATACAACTCGATAAGCCACAACTGTGGAATTCAGCCGCTAATTAAATCCGAACTATATATAACTCGAAAGGCTGGTGAGATACATGATCCATAGAGGAGATGACGTGGTAGTCGTTGGGACCGTTGTGGGATGGGTCGCAGCAGAGGAAGACCTGAGCTCCGTTGAGCTTGAGCGCGTCGTGAAGAGTGTCGAACTGCTCCGGTGGAACCAGGTTGCGCGACATGAACACGTTAGCTCCTTTGAACACCTTGCCCATCATCATCTTCCTCTTCTTCTCCAACTATATGCCTCAATTAGTCATTCATGTGCAGACACTAGGGAGAAACATTGGGGGTTTAAAATGGGGGAGAAAACTTCTTAGGTTTTTTGCGCGGGAAGAAGTGGAAATTTTTTGTCGAAACCTCTGGTATGTTGGTCAATGTAATGTAGGTGCTAATCTAGCTACTCAGAAGTCTCGAACTCGAGTTCGATTTAGATGAAGTTGGAAAAATTAGGAAGTCTTGTTAGGAATTACTCACAAAGTTTTAAAACTTTAAACAATGCCAAAAATATTACCTACAAGGTTTCACAAGACAAAAATACGACTATTTTGCAATTTTACAAAAAACTGACCAAACCCTCCAAATCAGGAAACGATCGAGGCATCTACACTTCTTAGCATCTCTCTTGTGGCTCGCTCATCTTCTCACATCCGTCCACCATCTTCACCGGCGGCGGCGGCAACGAAACCACAACGGCTGACCTCTACCTCGCATCTAAACATCATTCGGTTTCCGCTTCATCTGAGTTTCAGTTCTTCCCTTCTTCATCTCTGCTATCGCTAGAGTTTTGAATTGCATCGATCTCTTCCCAATTTTTGAATCTGAGATGACAACTCAGAAATCAGATGTGTTAATGTGCAGGTGATGGGGGCAGGTGGGCTGGGAGGGCTGGGGAGGGGGCTGGTGAGGGGGTTGGGAGGGGGCTGGTTCATTGAGGAGGGGTCAGGTGGGTTGGGGAGGGGCTGGGAAGGGGGCTGGTGGGTGGGGGAGGGGCTGGGGAGGGGGCTGGTGGGTGGGGGAGGGGCTGGGCAGGGGGTGGTGGGGGCTAGGGAGGGGTTGGGGAGCTGTGGGGGAGTAGGGGATGGGGTAAGGGCAGTAGGTTGCGGTGTCGGCGGCAGCATGGTGGCGGTTTACTGAGCGGATGTCACATAATATTTTCACCAGAAACCGCTACCGGGAACTTTTCCGATAGCATAGTGACATGATTACCGGGACAGTGACACGATTAACAGGACAGTGACATAAGTAAGTAACATAAATATTTAAAAGTGACAATTCATAGTGACATATAAAAAACGCAGTGACATAAAATTGTTGCAGTGACATAATCTTTTTCCAAAAATATGACCTTCTTACTCACATTTTTGTCCATGTTTAAAAGTGGTCACATTTTTGGAAATTGCCTTCAATTTAGTAATATTTAGGGACAAACCCCTTAAAAGTTTATGCATTTTAAAAAATTAGTTATATTCAATGTGAACTTTTAAAAGTCTATAAGAGCATCTTCAATGCTACAATGTGCACGGTGCACATGTGGCATGAGAGATAGCCTTAACAAACAAATTATATTTCTCCTTATTTTAATGGTTTTATACAATTTTGATAAGTTTTATTCCACAATGTCAAGAATATCGTCTAGATGTTCACATTATGGTTGACATTGCAGAGAAAGACTTACCAAAGTTGTACAAAATCATTTAAATAAGGAGAAAAATAGTTTATTTACTAATATTTACGTGGTTGTCTCTCATGCCACATGTGCACCGTACACATTATAGCATTGAAGATGCTATGAGTGTATTTAATGTAGACTTTATAAGTCTATAAAGGTTTAGGCGTATTCAAATTTCCGTTCATTCTTATTGAGTTTTAAAATCACGGATTCTCGTAGACTTTTAATTTATTCTAGTTGTCTTCTACTCGCTACAAGTATGCATAGATCTGATTGCAGGATTTGACTAATTATTTATCCGGAATCACAAATCGGCCAACAAGTCTTGGACTAGTACTGACTGGGACAGGATATGGGTACCAAGATGGTCTCAGTATGCAAGATTTAAACATTAAATTTTGATTTTTTCTATCATTTCACGATAAATAATGTTGAACAAAGATGTTCTACATTAATATTGAAACACAAAATAACTTATCTTTTTAATGTTTTTAAAAAATAAAAAGTGGTATTTTATATTTCGTCTTACGAAGAAAAATGTAGGGGTAACATTCGTTTAGTTCTTGAAAGAAAATTAGGAAGCATTTGAAGAACCGTTAATCCCGTGTCGATTCGGTTCTAGAAGTTTTTTGAAAAGAACCGATATAAGAATCAATAGTATTACATTGATGCAATTTTGTTACGTTGTCAGTTAATCATTAAGAAAAAATTTACTATTAGTGTGTTTCACCATTAAACCGCTAACACGTAAAAATATATTTTGAAATTACTAAATATATAATTGTAAATAAGTACACAAAATTTAACAAGTTAAAAATGAAAAGAAAACAATTATTAAGAATAAAAGCTCGATTGCACATATGCTTGTACCACATGTAGCAATGAGTGTAGCGCTTGTGTAATGATTAATGTTCTTACTTGTTGAGTTGTGTAATATAACAATTGATCATAAATACATCGAGATTGTTGAACATTCTCGAAACATTGAGTATCTTTTCAATAAAAATAAATTTGGATTCTTATGCTTCATTTATTCTTGTAGAACTTTGTGTTGCTAGATGAATTTCATTTGTTTTATTTATTTATTCCATTGTTTTTTATCATATTACACATAGGAAATTACTCACGGTTTTGGTGGTTTACCTTCCGGGTTTAAAAAAAAGGAAATCACTCACGGTAGGAATAAAACATAGCATTTCCCTAAAGTATGATCATATATTTGATTTCCCTTAAACGAGACTAAATATTACTATGCACATTTCTACCCTAATTTCAGTAATTAATATAATTAATTACCTCTATTTCCCTTGCATAGCCAAAGTCATTTTGGTGGTGGCAGATCATTACGATGCCCACGACGGCGAATTCCGGTGACAGAGACGGACATGTAAATCAGTAGCGTCGATCTAGGTGAAAATTCTGATGACCGGCAGTGACAGTTTGAATTTAAAAGTGTATGGACTTTTGAAAAGCCTATAAACTTATTCATGAATTTAAAAGTCAATAAAATTCATTCATAAAAAAATCTATGTATTTAAAAAAGTCCACCTCAATCCGTATTCAATACACCTCCTTAAGACTTGGTTTGAGTTAGAGTTTATTCGGTTTTTATTTCAAGGGCCTACTCTTTTGGGACTTTTTAAAACATTTTAAGATTTTCGAAATTTGGGTGTATTTAGTTGAGACATTTTAAGACATTTAGGGAGTGTTTGTGTTTATTTGTGTTTTTGAGAAGTGATTTTTAAGAGATTGTTGGAAAAACATTTTGTACTAAAAGTTGATAGTGTTTGAAAATAGAATTGATTGTAATTAAAATGTAAAAGTTGAAGTGTTTGGTAAAAAAGTGAAATTTGATGTAAAATATTGTTAAAACATAAAAATATCCACAAATTGTTAAAAATAAAAGTTGGCTTTGAATTTATATATGGAGTAATGCCTAAACCATGGAAAGGGGTATGTTGGGGGTCATGGGATTTGTTTACCTAATAACTATCTTAAAAGTTTAAACTATTTACCAAAATACCAAGAAAGATTTAAAAGCATCTCATGCCTTTGCTTTTAACTTTTGGCTTAATGGGACTTATATTCAAACAAAAAATTGTCTATGCAAACACCTTTTTTAGTTTTATTTAATAAAAAAAGTTGAAAAGTGACTTTAAAAAGCATTTGCACTCCTTTAGAGAGCCCAAAGATATTGATGTGTTTAAAACTTTAACAAAACTCTAGATTGTTTTTTGGATTGAAATTTGATAGGACTTTACAACAAAAATACACTGGAAAATCTCATTATCAAATACAAGAGTACCATGCCTACATAGCTAAGATTTGTGAGATTAATGGAAAAGCCAAGATTTGTCACGAGGCAGAAATCGAAACAGATTTATTCAAAGGTTTTTACCAGGTTATACCATATTTAAACATATTTACAAAGTAAAATTTTATTATTGAATATTTAGACGAAAAAATGGAAACTAATAACTCAACCTTTTAGCAGTCTTCTTATAATAGTCCCACCTTTTGATTATTCATGAATAATCCAACCTTTGCACCCCATCTTCATTCACTGGTCCCTAACCGATTTATGACTTGCTATTCCAAGTTATTTTCTTATTTTTGCAAAACATTATGTGATCATAAGGCGGGAATTATGATATAATGTTTTACAAAGATAAGAAAATAACTTGGAATAACATGTCATAAATCGGTCAGGGACCAGTGAATGAAGACGGGGTGCAAAAGTTGGATTATTCGTGAATAATCAAAAGGTGAGACTATTGTAAGAAGACCGCTAAAAGGTTGAATTATTAGTTTCCATTTTCCCTATTTAGAATTACTAGCCCAAAATACGTAGGAATTATTAAACAGACATAACGTCAACGTCACAAAAATTCATTTAACTGCAGCGGAAGGTTTTTACAAACTATCAAAGTGAAAATTTAAAGTTTATTTCAAAATATACATTCCATTCTTTTAAAGAACACCAAAACACACCATATACATATCAGCCCTATGCCTCCCTCCATCTTGATGCTTCAAGTTGATCTTGGGCTTGAACTACGGGTAGGAAAAACAAACAACTACCCGCTCAACGATGTGCTAAGTGGTACGGTAATAACACATACACCATATCGAAGCATATAACAAACATATCATAATTAGTACGTGATTATTAGAACACAACATCACACCTGAGTGGACTGGATAAACTTTCATGCATTTCAAAATATTCATATACAGAGCAGATGAAGTTCAGATATCCGTTTATCAGATAATTTTATGTTTTTATAATGTATCATTAATCAGACAGATTCATTTAATTAGCCTTAAACTCAAGAAACTGGACCTATACAGAGGAATATTAACGGTAAAGAACATAGTCACGAAGTATGTACCCACATTACCCAAAAAGGATATGAAAACGTAATCGTCGGAACTACACGTACCAATCCCTAACAGAAGCTAGCTGAACATAAAGGACGAGATCATCGAAGATGTCTAGACCTTAACAAGAGAGTAATAGTGCTCTAAAAATATTTCAGGAGTGTACAAAGTACACTAAACAAGAGAGCACTAATTTATTTAAACAGAATTTTAGGAGTGTACATAGTACACTAAACAGAACAGAAGTATCCACGTCAGAGTACCGGATCAAGAGTAAGGCTTTTTAAACACATACTTATTTTTAATATAATAACTAATTATTTTTAACCTAAATACTCATTTTATTCAACTTCAGTGTAAAATGTCAACTTTATAGTTAAATGTCAGATACATAATCATTTTATCAAGTGACAGTTCAACTCACTTTTATTACTATTTATAACATTTCTTATTTTCGTAATAGTCTGTTTTCTTTGTAAATGCTATAACATAGTATATACATGTTTGATAGCTAAACTTTAATATACTGGATGGATTTTATATATAAAGTTCACATAAGTCTCATCAAATAAGTAATGCATGTTGATATATATATATATACACACACACACACATAGGTCTAACTAATTCACTCACCTAAATGCACATGGCACAATATATATATACTCCATCAATATATATATATATATATATATTGATGGAGTATATTCC